CGCATCGGAAACGCACAATGATGCACAATTTTCAAGACAAACTCTTCTTCAGTTTTATAATATTAGTATAAATTGTATTAATACTTCTAGAACCTCCAATGTGTTCACTGCCTTAAGCACGTTAAGTAAAAGTTTTACGTGTACTCGTGTAGGAAGTTGGCACAAAACTTGAAATTATCTAAACTCCGATACGTTACAACAAGAATAATGTATTAGGTTTATTAGTTGCTTAATCTTCGACAATATTCTCTCCCATAGTAATTAAGGAGATAATTTTAGAGATTAGTTTGAATTAAAACACTTCTCGTAAAATATGTTAGTTAACATATTATTAGTTTATTTTAACTACGACCCGACGTTTCGGATGCTTTGCAGCAGACATGGTCACGGGGATATTAAAGATGGAGGGAGTTTCTGACGTCAAAGTAAAAAACTGTGTTTGGCGAACTTGCAGAATTGACTAACGGTGTCAAAATTTGACTTAAAATAATATAGTTAACCTATTTTTAAATACTGTCTGTAGTTTACGTTAGTAGTACACATTTAAATAAAACACGATAACGATTTAACTTATTTGAAAATTATTAGCAGCATTCTCCCCGTGACCACGGTTACAAAGCATCCGAAACGTCAGCCGTACTTAAAATTATTTTCAAATAAATTTAACTAATATATATCGCACTTTAAACCGTTACTGTTTTATTTCAATGTGTATATTTCGTGTAAACTACAACCAGTATTTAAGTAGTTGATAGTCTAATTCGGGTATACAATCGAGAATCGAATCGAACTGTTTCAACACTCAAATTTGAATTTAAGGTAGAGACTAGAAGTAAGACAGACTGGTTTTCTTCCAAACGAATTTTCAGCAATCTTTACAGAAATACATTCTTACAATTGTAACACCACTTCACAAATTCTTTTCCTCCTGTCACTCGCGGTATCTTCAATCGAATTTCAACCTTACTACGTTGCTTTAGAACACATCTTTATCACAACGGATGCGTCCCTTACAAAATCACCATAACTCATTTTTCGCAGGGAAGTCGAAAGTTCATGTTTTATCGAAATATTCGAATGCTATCGGAACCGAGCGATTTATTATCGAAGTTTGTATAGAGTACGCAAGTTTTAAAGAGATAAGTTTTTAGATTTGTCTATGAGGCGGTAAATCTTAACACATGGCATCGGGGTAACTTACCTTCAACTAGATCTGTTGAATAACGACGTTGCAACGGTAACAATGTATGGTTAATAATTAACGAGTTCGATTTCCACCAGGTCTAGGTATAAAATAATCTGAAACATTAAATTTCGTCTGGATCTCCATATTTAATAGGTAGTAGGAATATCGAAATACCCTTCAGGTCACTACAGCCTACAGATGGAAAAGCTATAAAGGTCTGAAGATTGCAAATCCAAAATAAGTAATCTGCGTTTTTCGGCACTATTAATTTATAACACCTTCTTTTTCTCTTTAAGTTCTCTATTTTGATGATTCGTTATTTATTCCTAAAGTAAAATAAAACAGCCGTGCCACGGCTGCTGTAAAGCATCCGAAGTATCGGGCTATAGTTAAGATAGAATCTAGTTATATCAAAAGAACAATTAAGCGCTATTTAACAAATTTAGACTTAAAACAGACAAAACAATATACGTTATTTAGCTTATAAGTCAAATTGAGGCTATATTAATTTTACCAAACGGTAAATAACGTTGACGCGTCGGGCCTCATAACCTCTGACATCTGTCAACACACGTCAGTTGTGCGGGAATATCGTGGCGTTACAGAGAACTGTCAAGGTAGTCGGAAATATTTTGCGAAGTGTGTAATATATTATGGTTTGACATAAAAATGTGCGGAAATATTATATGGAAGTCATATTATTTTTGGTTATATCGCTTTTTAGTGTCTTTAGTGTCTGCAAAAGCTAAATATTATATCTTTAAACTATAAAAGATCACGCTACGATCAATAGCAGTGAAGAAACATTGAAGTATGTGGAAAAAATGTAAAAGACACATTCTTATGTCTTTTAAGCTCCTAAAAACCGTTTTTATGGTAAAAAATAAATTTACGATTTATTACGACAAATAATTTCTTGCGATTGCATCAAAATAATAATATTCATCTTTAACGGTTTAAAACGCGATATATTAGTTAAACTTATTAGAAAATATATTAACTACAGCCCGAAGTTTCGGATGCTTTGCAGCAGCCGTCACGTCTCCCCATGACCCCCCGATTTCAAATAAGTTTACCTAATATATATCGCGTTTTAAACCGGTAAAGTGTTTTATTTAGATGTGTATTACGCGCGTAGACAGTATTAAAAAATTAAACCTCATATATATAACATTTTTACCTATAATACAATGCATAAAAAACTGAAAATAAAAAAGTTAATTAGCAAAAAGTGAATGTAATTATGCGAAATAAAATGAAGTCAATCAGGTAACGTTATTAAGTAGGGAGGCATGATTGGCTTTAGGTGGTACAGTCGCACGCGTAAAGCTATACATTAATTTTAATTTAGACATCTTACTTTGATGATAGTACTTAAGGCTATATCCAAATTTCAGGAGAGCTAAAGAGAGGAATGTCAGCGACCTTTGACATTTCTCCTAAAATAGATACGGAGTTTAAAATGTATTCATTAAATATAATATTAAGGGGACATTATATAATGTAAAAATAGGAACGCCTATTCTTATTGAACAAATAATAAATATGCGTTATATTATTGCATATATTTCAAACACACTCCTTTTAAAATAATTAAAGGTAGCGATCTAAGAGTACTAAACTCAGTATGATGCTCATTAACATATGATCAAATCAAAACATTTATTTTACAGACAAATAAACAAAATAATGTAACACAAAAATACAATACTAATAAAGTGAAAGGACACCCCTGAGCTCTTGTTGTAAAAATAACGCCGATTTTTAGTTACATTTGTAGTAGAGCTTACAGCTTAGTAGAACATGTACATGTAAACATACTTACATTACAAATGGTGTTATTAATGTACATATTATATACCACATATGAACCCACACGAGCGTAATATGTTAAAAATCTTTAAATTATAAAATTAAAAAAAAAACATATAAGAATAATATTTTTCACACGACTGTACTCATGAGAGCAAAGGGCATAATAACAAGGCATACTTGTAAAGCTTTTTAAGTTCATTAACTCGAAGTCGTTGTATTTTCAATAATTATAAGAGCCAATCAGTAGCATAGCTCATTCTCTCATTTTGCGACAGAAAACAGACTGCGGAAGCCATATCTATACTAATATATAAAGCTGAACAGTTTGTATGTTTGAAGGAATTTAGAATTTATTTAATGTGACTAATAGGAGCGAAGAAACAGCGGGAAATGTGGAAAAAAGGGCGGAAAATCATTCATCTTAGAGGTATTCCAATTCCTCTGACTATATTTATTATTTATTTTACACTTAGGTACATCAAACAGAACATACAGATACTATGCAATTTAAAACTATAAAGTGTATCGGGCGGCCTTATCGCTATAAGCGATCTCTTCCAGACATCCCGAGTAGAAAGAGACTTAACGATTAATTAAAAAACTATACAGTGTGCAATAAGTGCGAAACTTACTAATTACTTGTACTAAACAGAAAAAACTTAAATAATAATAATAAAAACCCATCAAAATAAAAGAAAAAATATATATATATAAGTGATAAACGACTTTCCAAAAAAAATATTTGATTGCTTTAAACTTTTTGGTATAGTAACCAACGAGATTAAAATTTATATAATACAGGAAAATGAAGCAACATTCAAGATATTTCTAGACATAACGAAAGGATCTACGTGACCTCCATATAGATCTAAGATTTAACTAGACAATGTAGTTAGGAACTGCGACTTTCTTGCTACATCGACCACATCAAGATTTCTTTGTATGTGACGTAACGATGTAATATACTCCCCTCACAAAAGGGCTATTTTTATCATACATCATATTTATGTAAACAAAAATTCAAAGAAAACACTTTAACAGATTAAAACGCGATATATTTTCGTTAAATTTAAGTTAGTTAAACTTGCTTTGCAGCAGCCATGGTCACGGGGAGACTAAAGATGGAGGTCGACAGAACAGATGGCGTTAACGTTGCAGTTTTTTACTTTGACATTAGAGACACCCTCCATCTTTAAGCTCCCCGTGACCACGGCTGCTGCAAAGCATCCGAAACGTCGGGTTGTAGTTTAAAAAACATCTCAAATAAGTTTAACTTAATTATATATCGCGTGTTAAACCGTGAAACTGTTATATTTAAATGTGTACTACTCGCGTAAACTACAGACAGTATATTTTTTGTTTGTCATTTTTATGATCGAAGTGGACAGACGAGCTTGGTGTTGACACCTGATAGAATATGAAATATCATATAACATCTAATCGTAATACGATGTCTACCTATTACGGCCTTAAATAGTCGGAACTCCACAGATTGAAACTGTAACGCGATTAAGCTTGACTATTTTGTCATCTGTGAACGGTGGTTGGTGACTTGGACAGAATTTCAATATTCCCGAAACTTAGTCAAACATGTTTCAGTATATAAATATAGTTTGAAAAAAAAAATTAAGAATACGAGACGGCCGGGACTCGAACCAGCATTTACAGGGCAACAGCACGGAGCGTAGAAATTGTTAGCAATAACATGTGAAAAATGTTACACATTCTTTGCAATAACATGTGAAAAATGTTACACAGTCTTTGCAATAACATGTGAAAAATGTTTCCGTATAATTAATAATTATTCGAATCATGTTGGATTCATATAGCCATACAATGCTACCATTAGACCAAGGGCCCGTCAAAATTGTCATCTTTTCCTGTGTATTTACTCTATTTTATACGACGCAAAATTCATATTGCTATGGTTGATAGACAAGTGTCATCATACTCTTACTTTTGTCTTTCTTCTCTACATACATTTTTCTTTTGTCCACAGTAAAACCGAAGTCCGTTATAGTAACAACAGGAGACGGTAAAACGATAGCCGATGGCCAGGTATACGGTCCCCTCCTAGAACGTGCTAGAGTGAATGTGACCTGCTTGGTCACAGAAGGAAAACCTCAGCCGAAGGTGACTTGGTACTTCAATGGAAAGGAGCGATTAGATGGTAAGTTTTATTGTCTAATATCAATTAAGATTCCTGCGTGACAAGTAATCATATTTTAGTAATAAGTAATGTAATCTAAATCGGAAATGATCTAAAAAAAAAATCATCCAAAATTTACCATGTACAGACAAAGAAATCTTACTATAAATATTATTGCGTATTATTAATTTTATTACATTAAACGGTTTAAAACGTGAATTATATTAGTGATGTCATCCCACAGCGACCATGGCTTTTGTAAAGCGTACTGATCGTTGTTAAAAATAATAATGCATATTTAAAACCGTGTTAATATATTACATTAATTTCTGTTATTAAGACACATTTTAATTATTCCAATTACAATTTATAACTTATGTCAACCACAATTATCTTGAAACCAGCTTCGCCCGTTCGTAAAATCAAAATCACCGAACGCAACTAAACCTATAATCTAGATGACCTAACAGCACTGAAATTAACCGTGAATACAAAATGAGTTCCCATTTGTAATTTATAGCTAGATAACGCTACAATTGTCTGTGTGAATTAGTTCCTGTATGTGACCTACATAACTAAAACTATAGTTCGACTATCCTTTCTTTATATCATCAGAACCATTTAACATAGTAAATGAATTATGTAGTAGCGAAATCGTTTCGTTATTATATGTTAATACATCTAAGTACGTAACGTATGGTATCGACACATGGTCTCCAACATCGGCGTGAGATGTAAAAAACTATGTTGGAAGTTGACGTGATCAGAAATGAGGAGATTCGTAGAAGAACTAAAGTCATTGACCCCGCCATCCACGCCCACATGCCCCGCCATCTTCAGAATGATAACCCATCCGATTATCATGCTGAAGACGGCGGGGCACATCGCTCGTAGAACCGACGGCTATTAGGACAGAAAGTTTAGGAGTAGACAACACGGACTCCTTCCAGCTACACAGACTTGATCAAGGCAGTTGAAAAATACTGGATTCGGAAAATAAGCACCAAATGTCTTTGGGGGAGACCTATGTCCAGTAGTGGACGCCTCATAGCTTAGACAACTAGATCTTATGTTACAAAGAGACTATGACTGACTTTTAAACATTGAGTCATGGAGGTGGTATCTAGAATTTAAGAATACCTCCAGTAAAGCATTTGATATTATGTCTAGGTACCAAACGCCCTGTTATGTAGGATATTATGCATTCTAAGATCACTTTACAATATTCGAGTGAGCGCCTATAAAATATCGTGTAGAATTTTTACCTTGCAATATACACCTCAGTATCTGAAACAGTTTTCGTCGAGCGTCTTAGGAAGCATATTTTATCCCTAGAAAACTCTCTTTATCTTTTTATATAAAAGGAGGGTAGAGAAGCATGGGGCTCTCTTGATGGAAGGTGAAAGCCAGCCAATAAAATGCATTTTTGCTTTGTCTATCGAAAACCCTGACCCCGAAACGCGATTAAATATTACTGTTTTTCATCTGTGAACGGAAATTCGAATTTAGCACCACAACGTTACTATCTAAATTTATTTCTATATGAAGCCTAATATGTTTTAGTAACATTATAAATTGATTGGAAACGCATGGAATCCACGTTCGATTACCCGCCAGCCGTTATTTTTTAACCTTACGTAGCATTAGACCAACGAACCCACCTCTTCAATGTATTCTATTGAAATGCACCACGAACGCCATCTGAAGAAAACGTGGTGCACAATATTTTTCTAAAATACCTAAGTACTAAGTCCGTAAACATGAACAAACTGTAAACTCTAAACAAACTTCGTAGCAGCTTAAACGTTGGGGAATTTGTTAAAAACCTATCGATTCGTAGCCCGGGCGTAGCACGCGTTGTTTACACACTGCGCGGAGAGATATCACTGTACCAAATTGTGAGGTTTTTCAACGACAACCTAGTGAGAGTTCCAAAAGTAATTTGTGTGTTAAAGTGCAAAATTGATTAAGAATAATACTAAAGTCCTTTTATTTTTTTATTGTTAATTATAATTAGATTTTAAATTTTAAATACAATTGATGGATATATTTATTAATTTTTAATATCATTATATATTGTTTGTGTATCACACAAAATATGTTATATTTAAAATAATCAAATACCATTGAAACTTGTCTCCCGCAAAACAAACAATAGCTGCTGAAGAGAAGCACTCAGAACTTCGATTGTAGATAAATGTTTCTTTACTTACATTATGTTGTATTTTATATACTCTATCTGTGTTAGGCATTTTTAATATTATCATTTTAGTTCTAGGATTTCCATATCAGATAGAACAAAATAGGTTGGCAACACATTTAAAATATTAAAGAGTAAGCGCATTTAACATTCACTTAGCAAACTCCATGCATGTCTTGTCGTAAATAAACTTAGTAAATTTTTCGACATTTCCATTGAAATTGCACAGTGCGTAAACCCGGATAGTGTGTGAAAATTTCTTTGAAAATGTTTACCGCAATCGTTTCGATTCCCGTTTTATTGTTTTCAAGCTACTCGCGAATACAAAGTGTCTGCTTGTCGACGCTTAATCTTATTTATTTTTGTTTGAAAGCGCTTGTTTTGGGGTTTGACGAAAAATACTTAAATAAAGAAATTCGTTTTACGACGAACAGGAACAACCGGACAGGAAGTAACAGCGTGTCCGTAAAGATAAATATTTTAACGACGAATGAACGGGTGTCACCAACACGGCTCTCAAACAAAAATCTCTCTTAAAGTAGGTAATGGTTACAGTTACAGTTAAAATTTAATTTTAACTAATATACACACATCGAAAAAGTTTACTATATACATACTACTATTTCTAATTATTAATAAATAAATATATTACTTCTTATAAACAAGCGCAAATCTATGTAAACATTTTTATATTGAGGACACACTGGCTGGTTGTAAAAAAATCGAGTATCAACTGATGAACTTATTAAAATGTTAAAATATTAGATGTCAGATGTAAAAATAAACCGTTAAATAACAAAGATTTAAAGAGAACGTTTTAAAATAAACTTGTGTGTATTCCTTTTTTGACGAGTGTATTTGAAAACAGTGTTTAAAACCGTTTAAGGTGTTTTGAGTATAGACAATATTATTTTCACATTATCTCAATAGTCTAATAAAAGACCTAAAAATCCCTAACTCTAGTTTTCAGTTTAAAAATCCCTTCAAAATTAAACTCTACCCTTCCAACTGACACAACAAAATTTTAATCCTCTGGAAATTTTGGAGATCCTTTGAATTTCAAATTATCCGATAAAATGCAGATTTTACTTTGACGTAAGTTACATTATTGAAAACGGGGATACATAAGCTAAGCCTATCTGCTATAGCTTCTCGCCAAACGTTGTATTGTCATCTAACTTATATCCCAAAAAATGTTAAAGAGATTTTATGTAGTAATTTCATAGCAAAGAAATAAATAAATTTAAATAGTTATTCGATGTGTCGATAAAACATTTTTTGTCTATATATCCATAGTGCCCATCAGTAAAAAAAATTACGTTTTAGCTACTCCTACCATTTCTCATAGACAAAAGTTTTTTGAATACTTTTCGCTTTTATTTACATTGTTGTTTTATTACAGTAGCTATAATAGTATCTATGTACCTATAATTAGATTTTTTCGGTTTTATGTTTAAGTACCTTATTTAATCTAAGGAATCTTAGTTATGAAAGAGGAGGACAGACATGTATATGGTCCACTGGATAGTAAGTTAAATACTCCAGCCTATAGCATCTGAACAAGATGCGCGGTCGACCTATTTCGGCTTTGGATATTCGGAAATGCATCTGTGGACGGTGATTCGTGACTTAGACGAAATTTCGGTATTCCTAGCGACCATTGAATATCCAGATTTCTAGAAGTCCAGAATGTTTTAGAAACATTTTGAAAACCCGTTGATTACTAGCCATACATCGCTATCACTCAAACGAACGCGTCAAAAGTCGCTTTGGTCTACATAAACACAAAATTACTTTACATAAAACTATAAGACTGATTGATTCCTTCAACATGATCCACGTATCTCGGATTGGGAACATAACTCGATAATCAAAAACATACTTTCCGCCCGCGCTGTAGTGCGATAACATTTTTCGTCCCTTCAAATATCAATTCGACCATTCTATCGTAGTTTTCATATCCCATTCTCTTTTAAACTGAAACGAGTGAAAAATATTCGCTAGGACAGGCCGTTGATGGAAATCAGATATGCGCGAAATACAATAGTGGATTGGTGGAGGTTTGGATAAAGGTTCTATTGAAAATATTCAAATATGTCACGATTTGAGCGATGTACCGTATATTCAAATTGGCGTTCAACTGAGAGATATTAACCGCACTTTTGTATCTATCTATGCCTCTGTGTTCGTCATGGAGACAAGTAGTAGAGTTGAAATCTTTTTATTTTTCAAACTGATGGTGTGAACGCCTAATGTATACACACGTCGGACAATAGTCAAGTCATAGAATTGCAGTTAGGCTACTTTGGCTCTAGCGGCCTCATATGCGATCCAGTATCGTCTTTTCGAATCGGACGAATTGGTTTTTACGGTTTAAACGCGAAATATAGTGAACATATTTGTTTTATATTTATACCCCGGCGTTTCCAAAGCAGCAGCCGTGGTCACGAAGGACTGACGATAGAGGGTGTAATATCAAAGTCAAATCGGCGACACGGCGCCAATTGTTTCCTACTGATTATTAGAAAAACTGGTTGGATTCCAGTATAACTAAATCATGGTGCTGTCTCGTTTTGAGTTTATAATATAGTATATCCATGATATTTTATATCTTGGTCCGTTTCGATTTTATTTAAGACTAGCTGTGCCAGTGACTTCGTCCGCGAGAATCGTTAAACTGGTCATCGGAATTCGTTTTTGCAAACTCCTTAATTTTTACACACTTAAGCTGTTACCCACGACGTCTATCACGTCCTTTCCAGTCGTTCTTGGAGGATAAACTTTATAAACATCGCGGACCCTTTTTTAGTCATTTGAAGCG